TTTCCCTACTTTTATGATCGATAAAACACTGCAAAAAAACAATCTCAATGCGGTTGCGTGCACAACTGCATCGGGAGTCTTTTTGTCTGGTGTTGCTATGTACAGATACTCTTTCTTTCTTTCTTTAAACGCCACACAAAAGGAATCTTGGGATACAACCTTGTATACTGTCTCATAAAGATGGTGTCTTTGTGTTGCTTGATCAGTGCACCCAAATGCACAGGTATACTTAGAAAACACTGAGGGGGGGGGGGGAGAATCATACGTATATACAGAGATGCCTAGTCTGCTTTTTTGCACTTTTATCAATGCACCCAAATGCATGTGCACATTGTGCAAAAATATGTATACGTACAATCACACGAAGATCCCTCCCTTGCCTTTGGGCCCACATGCACAGCACAGAAAGGGGGTTTAGAATGAACAGGTTCAGCCTGTGCGTGGGCTTGCCTTGCATGTTCTGAGACTCTTGCAAGAAGCAGCCCTTTTTCCTTGCTCCGAATTTCCTAGCCTCTGTGTGCTTATCTGGCCTCGTCGTCTCGTTTGCATCAGCTATGCATATAGTTAAATAGGTTACTTCCCTGCTCCAGGCGTCCCTGCCTTTCCTTATTTTCCTAGTCAAATTGACCTACTTTGAGGTCAGTTCTGCTAGCTGTAATAATAAGCCGGCACCTCTGGGGGAGAAACGGGGGGAGCAAGGAGGGCTGGGCCGGGTGGCTTTGCTCATCTCCCCAGCAGCGTATAGGTCCTCTGGTCAGCTCTGAGCACATTTGCTAATAGCTTCAAATCTGAGGCGTCTCACGGCAGCATTTGCCCGGGCAGTTCGGAGGCCTCCCCTCGAGGTGACTGGGCCCAATCAGATACCAAGTCGGCAAGTAAATTGGAATGTGGTTCAGAAAGATCCCTGCTCCCCTTTGTCAGAAAGGATTAAAGAGCAAAGCTCATTTGGGAGCCAGCATGCATTTCCCAGACACCGTCTGCCTCTGCTAAGGCATTTATTTCTCAGCTGAGTCCCTAATTCAATATCTCTAAGAAAGCTGCACTGGCAGTTTTAAAAATACGAAGGCATCTGGTGTCGTTCCCTGTAGATGGGCAGAAATACCCCCACGAAACCCGTTGTGGATTACACCCCGCAAAGGCCCTAATAGTCAAAGTTAGTGGAGACATTGCCCAGGTATCAGGATGGCCAAGCCAGGTAGGGAAGCCGGCCCCAGTTGTAGGGTTGCCAGATCTGTTAGAAACACCAGTGGGGGAGGATGCAGGGGTGTTCTGGGAGCAGGAAGTGACATCGTGTGATGCAATGTTCCCTCTAAGCTGTGGGGTGTTGTGAGCAAAAATTCTACTTTGTGAGCTACTGGCATTAAAGTTCTGAGTGAGCGATTTGGCTGCTGCATCAATTAGTTTGCTCTGGAGCCATCCCTCCTGAGCTAAGACCAAAATGTGTGAGCCGGAGGCTAAAAAACTGTGAGCTAGCTCACACTAACTCAGCTTAGAGGGAACACTGGTGATGTGCCTATTTCACCTGGAAGTGATGTAGGCACTTCAGTGACATTGGGGGTGACATTCTGGTTTGGGGGCAAAAGTCTATGGTAAAATCAGCCTCGAGCCATAGTTTTACCCAAAAGCCAGAGCATCCCCCCTCCCCCGCAACATCACTGACGTGCCTACATCACTTCTGGGAAACATAGGCACGTTGCGTTTATTTCCGGCAACATTGCTGTTTTGCGGGGAGGATTTCCTCCTGACAGCTGGCTGGTGGCAGGCAGGGGCCCGCAAAACCAAGGGATCCCCCGCCCCCTATTGGGGAATGGCAACCCTGGGACCTGTGGAACCCCCCAGAATTACAGCTCATCTCCAGACTACAGAGATCAGCTCCCCTGGAGAGAATGGATGATTTGGAGGATGGGCTCTATGGCATTAAATCCCATTGAGGTCCCAAGTCCTCCCCAGGCACTGTGCCCAAATCTCCAGGAGTTTCCCAACCTTGAGCTGGCAGCCCTACCCCTCACCGGTAGCCCGGAGGAACCGGCAACCCTAAGCCGAGGTGGTGGGGGCTACAGTGCAGAAGCAGAGGTCATGCTCACCAGCTGATGCCCAGTGGTCAGTGGCTGCTGGAGCTGGTTTCAAGAGACAGGTAGAGTCCCACTAGGGTCTGGGAAAACTGGATTCCATTTCCCACCCTGACATGAGGCTCACTGAGCGACCTGGGGGCAAGTTGCTCTTCTCTCAGCCTCGCCTACCTCCCAAGGCTGTTGTGAAGATAACATGTGGGAAGGGACAACCGGATTTGTCACTAGGGTTGCCAGCTCTCAGCAAGGAGAAAGACCTGGAGATTTTGGAAGGGCAGCCTGGGAAGGGGAGGGCAGGAACCCCAATGGGCTTCGATGCCATAGAGTCCAACCTTCACAGCAACCCTGTTCCCCAGAGGGAACTGATCACTCTCTTCTCAAGGTTAGTTGTAATAGTGGGAGATCTCCAGGGTTCACCTGGAAGTTGGCAGCCATGCTTGTTGCCAGCCTTTTCTGTCTGTCCCACTGCCTCCTTTGCTGTGTCGCAGCAAGGGTTGCCAAAGCTCAATTCCCTAAATCCAGTTGGCTTGATTTTCATAGTACGAAAGCTGCATGTTAATCGGGTGCATCACTCACTGTTGCAGTCATCCAGTTGCTTTGTGGGGGAAAGATCAGAAGGAAACACCTTCTTTGACAGTCTGTAGGCTCACGTTAATGTGCTGATGCTTCTTTTCAGTCAACAGGAAAGCTTCTTGGTGAAAAGATGCCGCAAAAGTGTCAATCCTGGTTGTACATACCCTCATTGGCTAGAATCATGGGAGGCGGGAGCAGTCTTGTTTGTCAAGAAATGATTGGGCGGGACGCTACCTGCATATTTTTGCTTTCAGTCCCTGGGTCCAAAAGGACTAGACAGTAGTGTTGCCAAACTCCATGTGGTGGCTGGAGATCTCCCACTATTACCACAGATCTCCAGGCAACGGAGATCAAGTCACCTGGAGAAAATGGCCGCTTTGGAAGGTGGTCTCATGGCATTTTACCCCACTGAAGTCCCTCCCCTCCTCAAACCCCACCCTCCTCAAGCTCCACCCCCAAAATCTCCAGGTATTTCCCAACCCAGAGCTGGCAACCATGCTAGAGAGAGTTCTCCACTCTCCCCAGCCTCTTCACAGATCTATAGTGTCCGAAGAAGAGGTTGTTAAAATAGATCAGATTTGTAGTTTAGCTATGCTTTAAAGGGTGCTTTCCTCCTCTTCCCCCCATTAGGTATTGTTAAGTCGGTTACTTAACAAAGAGTCAGAGAGTGATTTCAGCAAAAGATCAGCTTTATGCAGCAACTCGTAACTCAACACAAAAAAAGATCAACATGAATCGCCAGAACAGCTTTTGCACTGAAGTTATTCTGCTTTTAAACTCTCCCGGCTAATGTAGCCACGCCTGAGGTTGCAGGGATAAAGTCCAATCACAATAGTTCCCACTCTTGGAACTAGCTGTTGATGATTGGTTGGCTCTTCCTGGGCTACCAATTACAAGTGAGGGATTAGGATCCTAGCCCAGGATGAAAGCTTCACATGGTGATTCAATGAGTGAGTTCACATACATACATTGTCAGATTGAATACACCACAGGTATAAAACAGAATATGAGAGAGTACAAAATCTGGGCAGTGACTAGTGATGGGCAAGTCCTCAGATCCTCATACTTCCCAGTGGTAGAGTTATCTGTTCAGCCCGCAGAAGGTCCCAGGTTCAATCCCCAGCATCTCCAGTTAAAAGAATCAAACAGCAGATGCTGTGAAAGACATCTGCCTGTGACGTCTGCCTGCGAGCCACTGCCAGTCTGAATAGACACTACTGACCTTGA